CCGCCCCTGCCCCCCCCATCTGCTCCTCTGACAGATGCTGCCGGTGCGGAGTCTGCCTGCCCAGCACCTGCCCACACACGGTTTGGCTACTGGAGCCAACCTGCTGTGACAACTGTCCCCCACCCTGCCACATCCCTCAGCCCTGCGTGCCCACCTGCTTCCTGCTCAACTCCTGCCAGCCAACCCCGGGCCTGGAGAACATCAACCTCACAACCTACACTCAGCCCTGCTGTGATCCCTGTGTCCCAAGCTGCTGCTGATCGATGGTTCAGTGCCTGACACTGGAAGAATCACCCTAGAAGCTTTTGCATTCATCAGTCTCAGTAATTTACTGCAACTAATTTACTCTGCTTTAGAATTTGGAGAGGGATGGCACTATCGCTGACAACTCTTCCCACCCCCACCCCCACCCTCTAAGAAAAATAAGAGACTTACAATGATCATGTAGCTGTTATTTGTAACCAAGTGCATTTTGTACAGGGGAATGTCTACAGGCTTTCCAAAGCTGTTTGATTCCTTTGTGTTAAAGTGTATCTTTCCTTGGGTGCTTTGAGAATTCTATATTCAAGTCTTGGGTGGTTCTTTCTGGAAATTGAGGCATTTCTTCATGATCATCCTAATAAATTTTATATCTCTGGCATAGTAAAAATGTCTACAATTACTTTTGTTTAGTTCTGCAAATTCATTAAATATGTTTCTTAACTCCAAGTGTCAGCGTTTTTAAGAAAAATTGGAGACATTGGTAAAGCTAAAAATGGTGATAGCACAGGAAACATGTCTTGCTTTTATTCTTCTTGCTGTTTTACAGAAATCAATGGTTTTGCATAAAAGATGACCCAAGTATACAGACATGCTTCAAAGTAAACTTTTCCTAACTTGCCCTTGGTTTAAGATCGTTTGGGAGATATTGAATATGCATTCAAGACCAAATAAACAAAACATATCAACTAATCCAAGTGATGCAATCTCTTTATTAAAAAATGCAAGAAATAATGTCATTATTCTTTCAACTAATACTTATTAAATATCTAGTATGTGTTTTGCTGGCCCTACTGGAAAAAAAGAGCTGACCTTCTGCCAAGTGAGGTAGATACAAAAACAGTATCCATCCATTCTTTCCTACTATCAACAATTAGTTATGGAATGCTAGTCTGTGTTATAATAAAAGATATGATGTGTTCTACCAGTAGCGTTAATAAAGTGTTGTGGGGCCATAAAGCTGAGAAGAATTCAGACTGTTACCATGGGGATGAAGAAGGGAAGAACATAATCAAAGATAAACTGGCTGGGACTGGTGTCAAAGGGATATGTAGAAGGAAAAGGTATCAAAGAGATACTAGACAGTGAGGTCGCATCGCCAACTGAGCATGGGAATAGAGAAGGAGGAGAGAATTCAAGAGGACTATATCGCGTTCTGCTCTAGACACGTCAGATATGAGGAACAAGTGATATGTATGAGTGGAGTTTGAGCTGCTGTTCTGGAAAGGAAGATGTAGATAGGTGAGTGCAGAAGTTCTCATCTAGCAGAGAGCTGGATTGCATGCACACAGGATGAAATTAGCTGAGGCATAGCAGAGTGTGGTCACTAGCGGATTAGAAGCTGAATGGAAATGCTCCATGCCAGTCACTACTAACAGACACTGAAGTTCCAGCCCAGCCAGAGTGAAAAAAAGCTTAAGCACTCAATCGATGTTCCAGAAAGGACTCCCCAAAAGAAGGAGGATCACAACCTTGAGTAAGAAACACACCAAATTACATCTTTCCTAAAAATAAGTCTACAAACAAGCCTTAGAGGATCCAGAGGATCTTCTAGTGATTTAGCTTCCTATTAAAATAAAACTTAATATTTGAAACTCTACACACACACACACACACACACACACACACACACATATGTATATATTTGGAGAGGTTTCTACCTTAGGGCATATGTGCTCACTGGAGAGAGAGAGATGATTAGACAGAAAGTGAAAATTTACCTCCAGGGGCAATGGCCATGCCACAATCCCTTCTCCTCAATTCTCCTCCCGGGATCCTGGGTACGTATGTACACACACCCAGCATGAGTTTCAAGTTACCAGGTCCGGGAGTTTAATTGTGGTCAGCCATGTGGGAGATCAATGACACCATCGCTATGCTATCTGTTGGCCCTTACAATTAAAATTCTTAAAATACATCATCCAAGATGAATAGCATATAGTAAAAAATTATCAGACATTTGAAGAAACAGGAAAATGCCATCTGAACTTAAAAAAAAAACATAAGCCACTAAAATTAGTTCCAGAAATACACAGATCTTTAAATTCATAGACAAGGATCTTAGAACAGTTATTACAGGGCCAGCTTAGTGATTAAAAGACACTGGACTCCCATGTGGTCAACTGCAGTTCGAGTCCTGGACCCAGTGGCTTGAAACTCACACCAGACGCATGTGCATATGTTACAAGTATTTTCAATTTTAAAGGAAAAGATGAACAAGGTGAGAAAATAGCTGGAAAAGATAGGAAATCTCACCAGAAAAGTGAAATTTCAAATACATATTTAACAAATTAATAACTTTTATTTAAATTAAATGAGAAGCAAAATGAAAATTCTAGAACTAAGGCATACAATATCTAAAATAAATTAATAGCCTTAATAGAAGACTGATCACTGCCAACTAGCAATGAGGTCAGTGATTTATGACAGATAAAATAATCATAAGATAGATCAAAATTACTAAAACTAAAGCACAGAGGGGGAAAATATTGAAAAAACAAGTAGAATATGACCGTCTTGTGGGACAGTATCAAGTGATCCAACAAACACAAAATTTAGAGGATAGAGAGAATGGTGCAGAGACCAGAAGGTTGCCTAATGGTTAAGACTCTGGACTCCCACATGGTTGACCGCAGTTCAAGACCCTGTGGCTTGAAACACACTGAGCACATGTATGTGTGTGCCCAAAATCACAAGAGAAGAATAGAGAAGTGATTGCTGCATGGCCATCCCAGGGGTATAGGATATCCTATAGCAAAAATCTCAACAAATAAAAAAAAGAAGAAAAGAAAGAGAGAATGGAGCAGAAACTTTTGACAGGAAAAAAATGATAAAACACTTCCAAATTTGGTAGTATATTTTATTAACCTACATTTTCAAGAATCTCAACACATTCCAGTATAATTCAACCTAAACACACACACACACACAACATACAGCAGTCAAACTGCTGAATAACAAAGATCAATAGACTATCCTACAAGAAACAAGAGTAAAAAACACCTATCAAATAGAAGGCAGCAGAGAACAAAATATGTCTAACTTCTATTTAGATAAAATGCAAGTCAGATGACAATCAATCCTCATTTTTAAAGTCCTGAAGGGGAGGAAATGTCAACCTATAATTCTATAGTCTGCAAAAACAACCTTCAAAATTGAAGAAAAGATGAAAACATTTTTAGATGAATAAAGCTGATTAAAAAGTGTTACACAGGACCAGCAGGTGGTGTGGTGGTTAAGGATTCCCACATGACCAGCCATGGTTCATGCCTAAACCCAGTGGCTCAAAACTCATGCCAGTGTTATGTGTGTGTGCTCAAAAGGAGAATGGCATAGGGATTGTGGTGTGACTAATCGCTCTGGGGTTGGGGCAGGGGGGAGCGGTAATTTCTCACTTTCTCTCTCTCTCTCTCTCTCTCTCTCTCTCTGTCTCTCTCCCAGCAAGCACACATGCCCTATGGCAAAAACTTTAAGAAAAAAAAGTTTTATATGAAGACCTGCACCATAAGAAACACTAGAGGAAATCCTGCTAGCTTAAGAATAATTATACCTGAACAACATCAACTAAATGGTTCCCAGACCCAGCAGTTTGAAAAAAAATCAAAAGAGAACAAAGAACTTAGACAAATGTCCCTCAAAGAAAAGTTATACAACTGATCATAAGCACAGAAAATGATGCTCAGTGTCACTAGTCGTTAGAGAAATGAAAATCAAAACTATGAGTACTACAGCACTGTAGAGTATCTATAGTTACTATAGTTAGTATAGAGTTAATATCAATTCAATGTATACTTCAAGATATCTGAAGAAAAGATTTCAAATATACATAACACAAAGTCATAATAAATGTTTGAGATGGTACATTGAAAAACCACCGTACCCCCTCTCAAGGACACAGGAAGTAGAAGAGTGGTTGGCAGAGCATGTGATGAGGAGGTGGTAGAATTGTTGTTTAAAGGATACAGAATTTTGGTTTTAGGAGATAAAAGAGGTATAGAAGTGTATGCATGATGGTTTTTAATATTATTAATAGACTTAATATCACTAAATTGTACATTCAAAAAATGATTAAGATAGTAAATTTCATACTATGTGTATTTTACCACAATAGGAAAAAATAAATATTTGGAAAGAATAATTACACTGATAAAATCTCAGATCTTCAGGGGGAAAAAAGAACAATGGAAATAGCAATTATATGAGTAAAATGAGAATTTCTCTTTTCTGTTTTCTTAATATCATAAAACACAATTGTTTAAAGCAAAAACAACTATATAATGGCACTTGCATATATAGAGGTAAGCCATTTTATAATAATCGCACAAGAAAATAAAAGGGTAAATAGAATTCTACCACATAGGCATATGCTCTAAGATCACACACACACACACACACACACACACACACACATACACACACACACAAAAAAAAAAAAACATTGTAAGACTGCTAATCACAATGGCTATTTTTTATTGTGGTGGCACAAACAAATAAATGTCACATAATGAATTGTAATATTACTTTTAAAAGGATACAAAAGCTATGGATGCACAGGATCAAAAACTGTAGTGATATTATTTTCCTTATTTGTAACAAATTGTATCTATAACTATTGATTGGTCAAATTTTCTTTTTTTTTTTTATCTGTCCAAAAGACAATACTTCCTATACTAATTTTTCTGAAATAAGTACTTTATACTACTGGCACATAGAAATGGTCTAAGACTTGATTTAGTAACATAAAGTTATCCTTTTATGAGGCATAAAACTCTTCCTCAATAAATAAACAACACTAATGAAATGTTTGTATGAAAACTGGCACCAACAGTGAGAAAGGAAACATCCGGTAGGCTGTAAATACTCATTTGGGGGGCTATATATGAGTCTCAGTAGGAAAGGAGACTTTTGGAGTCAAGGCAACCAGAGGTTTGCAACTGGTCTTCATTTCCAAAAGGATGACTTCTGACAGTTCCCCCAGTGCCTGCTTGTCTGAGCCCTGCTCTGGGACTTCCGGTCATGCATCAGCTTCAACCTGTTCTGTGGAAACAACCCGTCTCTCCAGTACCTGTGCTACATCCAGATGTCAGACTCCTAGCCTCCTCTCCAGGTCTCACTTGCTGACCAGTTGCCTCACACCCTGCTACTTTACTGGGAGTTGCAATAGTCCAGGCCTGGTGGGGAACTGCACCTGGTGTGAGGATGGGGTGTTCAATAGCAATGAGAAGGAGACCATGCAGTTCCTGAATGACAGACTTGCCAACTATCTGGAGAAGGTGCGTAGCCTGGAGGAGACCAACGCAGAGCTGGAATGCAGGATCCAAGAACAATGTGAACAGGATATTCCGCTGGTGTGCCCTGACTATCAGTGTTACTTTGCTACCATTGAAGATCTCCAACAAAAGGTTTGGTGTCTTGTTGCCTTAATACTCCATCTTTCCAATCTATGATTTGCTCTATCTTTATACTATAAATAAAAGAGGCCATTTTGTGGCAGGGAACTAAGGAAACTGGAATTCCAAGAATTAACATGAAATAGAGGAGAGGGCATTGACTAAAAACCATGAAATTTCAGCACCAGCTCAAATGCTGCCCCTGACCCTGGAGTGACTGTAATAAAAGTCATTTACCTGTAGACTTTACCTTTATCATCTATAGAATGGAGGGGGTAGAGGATATATTACATCTGAAATCACTTTATTATGTAACAGAATACATTTATATTATGTTTATACATGGATTGAAATGGCATCTTTTTTCTCATATTATTTCCCTTGGTGATTATTGTCTTCTCTTACTGATGAATTTCTATTTTCACAAGTGGGAAGATTTGTCAGAATACAATTACTTACTGAGAGAATGTTAGTGGTGTTCAACTGCTAAGGAATATTGCAAAATGTGTTATGTCATTAAAAAGCAAACCTCTTTATTTTTCTGTTTTTTTCTAAATTGCCACTGCTTTTTATCTTCATGAAGTGACATGGTTAATAAGAAAGGCAAACTGGAAGAAATTATATACTTTCTTCTAAAGACTTCCAAAAGATAACTAATGGCATAGCTATTAAACAGACATGGGTTTCTTTCCAAGAATAATTTGTTGTATGTTGACTTACTTCCCAGATCTTGTGCACAAAGGCAGAGAATTCTAGACTTGCTGTACAGCTTGACAACTGTAAACTTGCTGCTGATGACTTTAGGTCAAAGTAAGTTTGAATTGAAAATAATTTCTCTCTTTCCTATGCACACATTAAATATTCTCTATATAATTTTTTAAGCTACAAATGCTTTAAAGTCTTGAATTAAGCTTGAATTCATCATTATTTGGAGTATGAGAGAAATTATGACCCCTGGCTTTCTTGAGTCCATTACCAATCACCAGTGTACTCCCACAGTGTCTCTCAAAGTAAGCCTCACATACATTCCTTTTGCTCTGAAAGGTATGAGAGTGAATTGTCCCTTCGTCAGCTGGTAGAGACTGACATCAGTGGCCTGCGTGGGATTCTGAATGAGCTGAACCTATGCAAATCCAATATGGAGGCCCATGTGGAGTCTCTGAAGGATGATCTACTTTGTCTTAAGAAAAATCATGAAGAGGTGAGAAACATGTCAACATTGCTGAACAATTCCAAGAGTGACAAAGTTAAACTGGTAGATTTCATGTTAATATGTGTAGATTTGTGTAAGCTATAATAAGACTACTCAAGGCATTATTACTATTCAACCTGAACTTTTCAGTGTGACTCTGAATGGAGAGATAACTTCTGGCCAGTGCCAGATGAAGGGACCAAACTATGCCTGACATTGCTTTTGTGGAGGAGATGAGTAATTCCACAAATGGCTTTCCTTGAAGGCTTTACCCTAACCCCCAACTCCAACCCTCAAGGTATAAACATTGAGCTAGTAAATACAGACTGTAAATATGGACTACTTCCAATAAGAGATAAAGACTCATGAGTATTTAGACAAGTGTTAAATATTTTGCCTCTATAAGCTTCTTTAAAATAATAAAATATGAAGTATATGATTATCTTACATTGATAAGGCTGGAAAATAAAAAATGGAATGATGTGACAAAGTATATTTTCTCTCTGAACCCTTGATGATAAAAATAGTTAAAATTTGCTGAGACATGTATATGTGCCAGGTCTTTTATGAGTCCTTATGTATATACTATCTCTTCTACATTTCACAATGACTCTCTGGAAAGTTACAATTATTACACTTATTTTAGGTAAAGAAGCTAAGTTATTTATAAGTGGTGAAAAGAGATTCAGCCTAGACAGTCTGAATCAAAATCCCACACTTACACTCACTACTCCAAAAAACAGAAGTGGGATGCCACTAGATGTCAACTAGTTTTTTTTCTCTCTACCTCACTCTAACATTCTCTACTTTACACCCTCTTTCAGGAGGTCAGCTTGCTTCGTGAACAGCTTGGTGACCGACTCAATGTAGAGCTGGACACTGCCCCCACCATTGACCTTAATAGGGTCCTGGATGAGATGCGCTGTCAGTATGAAAATGTGTTGGCCAACAACCGCAGAGATGTGGAAGAATGGTTTGCTATTCAGGTCAGCACCTGGAGCAAAAACTTAACAGACTTCTAGACTTTTACTTTGAGTTCTCTAATCAGGTCTGTGTTTCAGACAGAAGAGCTGAATCAGCAGCAGCTGTCTAGTGCAGAACAGCTACAGGGCTGCCAGATGGAGATCTTGGAACTGAAGCGCACAGCCAATACTCTGGAAATTGAGCTTCAAGCACAGCAAAGTCTGGTGTGTAAAACAAAGACAATTACAGTTTTGTCATTGATAAATCAGGCCCATGAGATACTATGCCCTCTTCCATAACCCAAGGGAAAGACATGGATCATGAGCCAAGTCTGGATTTCTATTACGCAAAGATTATATTTCCAGGACCAGCAGATGGTATAATGGCTATGTTGTTGGACTCCCTCATAGTTGACTGCAGTTCAAGTCCTGGACCTGGCAACTTGAAACACATGCCAGGCACATGCATGTGCATTCCCAAAATCCCAACAGAAGAATGGAGGAGAAGGGACTGCAGTGTGGCCATCCCCCTAGGGGGTGATTTTTTTTATTTCTCTCTCCCTCTCTCTCACCCATGAGTGCAATTGCCCTATAGCAAAAATCTCTTAGGGAAAAAAAAAAAAAAAAGACTGCATTTCTTTGCCTTTCCAATACACTGCTGTTTATCCAGTTGGAAGTTGCAGATCAACAGGGTGTTTTGACCTACCAGTATGCTTATCCTTCCCTCCCAGGCTTGAGCATGATCCTGTAGCACCCTCCAGAGATAAGGAGAGAGAGAAAGGACAGGATTGGAATGAGAGAGGACCCTCTCTCAAAGGCACTTAAGCATTTCAATCTGTTTAATTCTCTTTTGAGTCAAGTCAATTCTACAGGTTCACTATATATATATATGTGTGTGTGTATATATATATATGTGTGTGTGTGTATATATATTATGTAATATATACATATATAATATATATGCACATATATAATATATATGTAAAATATATGTGTTTATGTATATATAACAAAGAATCATTTTAAACTTTTCATTCTACCACAATCGTAAGGTCTCTAAGGGTCCACATCACAACATGCTCACAGCACTCCACCTCACCCAAGCAACAAAGATACCATGCATTCCAGATTGCATTAATCAGTGTCAATCAAGCACCACTCATGTGCTGTATCAGGTCCTAATGGGAATACCTAGATGAATAATTGCTGAGCATTCATATTATGAGAGGCACAATGCTAATTTAAACCTCACAATAATGTTAATGAGTAGACTGATACCTATACTAACCCCATTATGCAGATGAGAAAAACTGAGACTTGGATTAAGCATTTTGCAGGGATTCATGCAATTCTAAAAAGCAAAATTGGAAACTGAATTCCAGAGCCTCTTCTTTTAACCATACTATATAACCTCTCTCTGCCAGGAACCCAAACTCCATGTTTCTTCTCAAATGCTGTTGATCTTCCTTAAGATATATAAATATGTCATAAGTTGCTATACTCATACCAGTGGTAGTAATACCTGATTCTTTTATAGACCTTAAACTTTTTCTAGACATTGTTCTAAATGTTTTCCACATATTAATCATTTAATTCTCTCTTCCATCCTTTGAGACAGGTTCCTTGCATTCACCATTTTGTACAACAGAAAACTGAGGCTCAGGGAAGTTAAGTAATGTCCCCAAGGTCACATAGCTAAAAGAGGGCTGAGCAAGAATTTGAAAACAGGCTATTTGGCCCCAGAGATTGTGCTACATCATTCTTTTTGACATGGTTTTCCTCCTGCAGACGGAATCTCTGGAATGCACTGTAGCAGAAACTGAGGCCCAGTACAGCACCCAGCTGGCCCAGATGCAGTGTCTGATTGATAATGTAGAGAACCAGCTGGCTGAGATCCGCTGTGACCTAGAGAGGCAGAATCAGGAGTATGACGTGCTGCTGGACACGAAGGCCCGGCTGGAGTGTGAGATTAACACATACCGGGGCCTGCTGGAGAGGGAGGACAGCAGGTAAGTCCCACAGTTACTCATGAAATTCCCAAGTGATAAAGAGGCTGATGTAGGAGAATCCTATTTCTCTAAGGTCTGGCCAAAGTCAAACTTCTCTAGTGTATTAAGCAATCTTCTTCTTCCTTTTTTTTTTTAAGTTTATTTATTTTGATAGAGACAGAGAGAGTAGCACCCCTAACAGTGTCCCCTCATCGCAGTCTACCCCTCAGCCAGCCTAGATCACACGTATGTGTGCATGAGCCTAGAACGTGGAGGCCCCAGGACATGAATCCAGGCCTCTTCATATAGGCCCAGCTGTGTTCCTGCTCCACAACCATCTGGCCTCTTAGGCAATCTTCTTAAAAGAGTGATGAAAGGTAGCTAAAACTAAGCATTGCTTTAAAATATTCTAAAGTTCGACAGCAGAATGATTACCATGTATAATATTTATGCTGGAGGCAGGGGATTCCCTTTACTCCTGTTTTCCTCTAAAGGGAAATCAAGAGCATGTACAAGATGGCATTTGCAATATGAAGAAAATATTGCTAATACTATTCATCCACCTCTGCTGTAGGAAACATAAAGAGGCAATTCTGGGTACAGAGATGAAAAAGTCTTGAATCAAAGGCTATTCTGCTGACAATTTTCTTCAGAGTATAACTTGCAGGGCAAATTTTGACATGGTTTTTCTGAGTTAACATTTTATCAAGATTCTCTAATTAACCTTGAGTTTAAAATTGATTCTCCCCAGGCTTCCCTGTAACCCATGTTCTACAACGTGCACATCAAGTAATGCCTGTGAGCCGTGTTCAGCCTATGTAATTTGCACAGTTGAAAACTGTTGTGTGTGAGTGTTAAATACCCAGCATACTGGGTGGAAGAGTCCATGATGTCCTGAAAAGAGATGAGGCTTCAGTTAAGGCTGTCCAGACCAGAAACACAAGTCCAGAAAGCTTTCATATCCTAAAATTGTCCTCTAGACATGCTTGGTATAGTTCTGCTTTATCATTATCCCTCCTTCCAGCTCATGTGTAGTATTCAAGGACCCCATAAAGCTTTCTTGCTAATCTCCAAATAAAATGTATTTCATTTCTCTAGCATGATAATGATAGCTTTGTAGTTTATTGCTGTTTGATGGCAGGTGAATTATCTAAACTCATTATCATAGTTTGAATTTGCACTAACCCAGGCTGAATTTTTTTTTTAACTTTTCAAATACAAATAGGTTAATCCTTACAAAGGATTATATATCACAGAAGATAATTGTATAAATATTTCTGAGAAGATACTTAGGAATGAAATATAATAAAATATGTTTAATTTTTATTTATAAACATACTAGGTTCTCTTTTTTAAAATTTATCACATCAAAGAGGAAAGAGCTATCCACAAATATTGAGCTATCCACAAATAATCATTGTCAATATTTTGGGGAACTTTCTTCCAGTTTTCTTCCTTAAAATAAATAGGTTTTTCCATATAGTTGTAATTATACTTGCATATACACGTAGTTATAGTATAATAGGTTTATGTTCGTAAGCCAATTCATGTCTGTTTTCAAGCCTGGTTATTGGAAAATCACAGGCCAAAATTATTATTGATATGAATCTGGATCACTGTGTACACCATAGTGAACCAAACAACCCACAAGAAATGAATTGATGATAATGATTAACTCAGAATAAATTATACATAAAGAACAAGAATGTCAATCACTGAAAGTTTAGCAACTCAAAACAGCACAAAGAAGGCTTCTTCCAAATTGCAGGAATTCCAACTTTTCCATCTGGACATATTCAGTAAGCCTTCCCTTAGGTTGTCAAGCACTGAAATAGTAATTGAACTTCTTCACAGGACAGTACAACCTCCCTCAGTAAAATTTAGGAGAGCCCTAATTTTTGGATAAGAATATAATATTTTTGCACCTTTGATAATTCACTCAACAATATTTATCCTATTATAACTGACTGATTTCACTTAGCATAATGTTTTTGAAGTTTTACTTTGTTTTAGCATATATCCAAACTTCATTCATTTTTATGGCTGGATAATATTCTATCGTATATGTATGACACATTTGTTTATACATTCATCTGTTGATAAACAGTGGGTCAGTCCCAGCTTTTGGGTATTTTGCATATGGTACAATGAACCCAGCATACAAGTATAAAAATAATAATAATAATGCCAGTAATTTTAGCCTGTAGTGTTGTGTAAAAATTATAATCATCACTCTCTGTAAGAACCACCAACAAAAAGCTTTGTGTTCTAAGTTCTGTGTACAGAACCCTCATAAAAAAAAAAAAAAAAAAAAAAAAAAAAAAAAAAAAAAAAAGTGGCTTTCAACCTTATCTTCTCTAAACGCAAGAAGCTTTCATGACTTGGGAATCCGTATGCCTCAGAGAATATACAGTTGACCTCGAGCAACATGGGTCTGTTACAAACAGATTTTTCCAATAAATACATTGAAAAACTTGGGGAAATTTACAATGTGAAAAAAACAGAAATTTATTCTTTGTATTATCCTTTCACTTTTGATGTCTAGTGTTAGCAATATGTACAACATCTATAGTGTTTTATTTTGTGCAGTATTGATGTAAATACTAACAGGCAGTTGATTCATCTTATAAACAGATGACATAAACTTATTATATCAATAAAAGTGGAGAGCGGGTCTGCCAGTGGCATGGTGGTTGGGGAAGCTGGCTCCCACATGGCCAACCATGCAGTGCAAGTCCCAGCCTGGTGGCTTGAGAAACACACTGGGTGCATGTGCATGTGTACCCATAATCCCAAGAGAAGATTGGAGGACCAGGGATTGTGGTGTGGCTACCTTCCTGGGGGGTGCTTTCTCACTTTCCCTCTCTCTCACTGTGTCTCTCTCTAGCAACTGCATGTGCCTTATATCAAATTTTAAAAACAAATGGAAAGCGAATACCTAAAGTTGGGAAAAGGAGGGGGTGAGAGGAGGGAGAGCCTGGTTAACAGACACAAGAGAGCAAGTAAATGAGTGGAATGAGTTCTAGAGACTACAGTACAGTTCATAGAGTTGGTGATAAGTCAATGTATATTTCAAAAAAACTAGAAAATTTCAAGTGTTCACAACACAATAATAAATGTTTGAGATGGTAGATATGTTTATTGTACTTATTTGATCTTTATACATGGCATTGAAAACTCACTGTACTCCATAAAAACATCTGTACAATTACTGTATGTCAATTGAAAATTATAATTAAAATATTTTTTAAGGTGTATGAATGGGGGAGGAGGCATCAGAAAGTGTCACAGAAGTAAAACTCAACACTGTGAAGCAATCCCACGTGGGAAGATTGTCAGGTCAAGTCCGAAGACCTCCCTGGGTACACCACGCACACACTTGCGCATGATTTAGAGCTGGCCGAAGGCTGGGGGTGGATCAAAGTGTCAAGACCCTGTTGGGGGTTCTCTCTCTCTTTCTCTCTTTCTCTTCTCCCTCTCTCATAAAGAAGTAGATAAATAGACTTAAAAATCAAAAAAAGGCATATGAATAGGTGGCCAGGTGGTGATGCAGTGGTAACATAATTGGACTCACTTGGAAAGGTCCTAGGTTCCTGTCCCAGGACCTCCCTGAGTACACTGGACAAACACTCAGGCAGCCATGATTCAGGCCCATTAAGACTGGAGGTGGATTTTATGGCATAAAGACCCTGTTGGGCATAAGGATGCTTCTCTTTCTTTTTCACTCTCTAAGAAGACAAATAAATAAGACAAATAAAAGAATTTGAATAGTGAAAATTCATATAGCTACAGTTGTACCAAATCTTAACTTTTTATTAACCAAACTTTATTGGGGTATAATTTTTTTTTTTTTTGGAGAGATTTTCGCTATAGGGCTCGTGCACTCACCAGACAGACAGAGACATAGAGACAGGAAGCAAGAAACCCCCCCCAGGGAGGAGGGTCCCGCCGCAATCCCTTCTCCTCCATTCTCCTCTCGGGATCTTGGGCACGTACGCACACGCGCCCGATGTGAGTTCTAAGCCACCGGGTTCGGGACGCGAACCACGGTCGACTACGTGGGAGTCCAGTGACATAGGCATTACGCTAACTGCTAGTTCCCTATGATTTTCATATTGAAAAAGAAGAGTAGTTCAGAACAGTCTGTGGAATGCAAAGCCCATTTGAATTTTAAGGGCCTGAATAAAGCATGAGCCTAAGATTTTGGTCATGTCTCACACCCACCATGGCTATTGCTCAAAGGGAATATTTTAGTTTACAGTGAACTATGATGCTGTAAAGTATTTAGATTTACAGTGTGACTCCACCCTTTCTTCATCCCCAATTTCTCTAGTTCATGATGTAAAGAATAAGGTACAACCAATTATTGTCTGCATTATTTTAAATGGACCAATCTAAACTCTTGACAAGCAACTTGTAACCTCCCTCTTCCTGCCCTTCTCTTTGTTACATAAACTAGCTTTCTCATTAACCAATGGTAAACACATTTTTGAGCAACCAGAGGTCTGTGTCATCTAGATGACTAGTCTTAAGCCCTATTTCAAATAAATCACCTTAATTTTATGTACCATGTCTCAGCCTTCTTTTTATTTTGACAGTGCAATAAAGAGCATGAATTGAAAGTATGTAGCTCTATGAGGCTTGAGAAACATATATACTTATGTAATTACCACCCAAATCAAGATATAGAACAGAATATCAAGTTGTAGAATACTGGGACCAGCAGATGGCATAAGGGTTACATAGCTGGACTCCTGCATAGTCGACCATGGTTTGAGTCCCAGATCCAATATCTTGAAACTCATGCCAGGCATGTGTGCATGCATGCCAAAATCCCAAGAGGAGAATGGAAACAAAGAGACCTCAGTGTGGCCATCCCCCCTGGGAGTGGGGGGGAGGGGAGGATTCCTCGCTTTCTGTCTCTCTGGCAAGTTCACGAACCCTATAGAAAAAAAATCTTTAAAAAAATTTTTTTAATTTAAAAAAATCTCATGCCAGGCTCACATGCATGTGTGACTAAAATCTTTAGAACAGAATGGAGGAGAAGAGATTGCAATGTGGCCATCCCTCTGGGGCGGGGGGAGAGGAGAGGGTGATTTCTTACTTCTGTCTGCTTCTCTTGTCTTTCCACAAGCTCACAGGCCCTATATCAAAAATCTATTAAAAACGGGAACCAGCAGTTAGCATAATGGCTATGTCACTGGACTCCCACGTAGTCGACAGCGGTTCGCGTCCCGGACCCGGTGGCTTAAAACTCACGCCGGGCGCATGTGCGTGCATGCCCAAGATCCCGAGAGGAGAATGGAGGAGAAGGGATTGCGGCGTGACCATCCCCCCTGGGGGGTGATTTCTCGCTTTCTGTCTCTATGTCTCTCTCTGTCTGTCTGGCGAGCGCACGCGCCCTATAGTGAAAATCTCTCCAAAAAAAAGAAAAAGAAAAAAAAATCTATTAAAAAAAAAAGATGTAGAATATCAACTTAGAACATTCATTCTTACTTCCTTTCAACCAACTCACCTCCCCTAAAGAAACAACCACTATTTTGATATCTATCGCTGCAGATGAGTTTCGTTCTCGAAGTTAATATAATCATACTGTTTATGCTATTTGCTCCTGAATTCTGCTCACTGTGTTTTTGAGATTCTTCCATGCTGCTGTACCAATATTTCATTTTTTATTGTTCTTGAGCACTATTTCATGATATAAATGTACCACAGTTGATGAGCAGTTGGGTTATTTCCATTTGGGGGCCATTAAGAATATAGCTGCAGGGCCAGCAGATGGCGTAGTGGTTACCTTCTGGACTCCCACATGGACAATGATGGTTCGAGGCTCAGACCCATGAAAATCATG